AGGTAGCGAGAAGTAATTCATTTTGCCAGCCAGCCTCACACGTCATGCGTCCGTACCTGGCTCCCCACGCAAACACTGACCCTCTGTCAGTCAAACAACGTGTCCACTGTCACCCTCACCTCAACATAAAACGATTATCTCAACACGATCATCCCAACATAATCATCTCAATACGATCATCTCAACACTCAACACGATCATCCCAACATAATCATCTCATTACGATCATCTCAACACTCAGCACGATCATCTCAAAACAATCATCTCAAAACAATCATCTCAACACGATCATCTCAACACGATCATCTCAAAACAATCATCTCAACATAAGACGATCACCTAAACATAGCACGATCATCTCATCACAATCACCCCAACATAATCATCTCAACACAATTGTTTCAACACAATCATCTCATTACAATCGTCTCAACATTCAACACGATCATCTCAAAACAATCATCTCAGTACAATCATGTCAACGAGATATCTCAATCATCTCAACAAAATCATCACACCACGATCATCTCAACAAAATTATAAATCTGTCATCTCATCGCAATCATCTCAAACATAACCTCAACACAATCATCTAAATACAATCATGTCATCACAATCATCTACACAATCATGGCAACGTGATCATCTCAATACAATCATCTACACGATCATCTCATCACAACAATCCCATCACAATCATCTCAACACGACCGTCTCAACACAATAATCTAATCCCAATCATCTCATCACGACCGTCTCAACACAATCATCTAATCCCAATCATCTCATCACTATCATCTCCATACGATCGTCTCTAACATTATCATCTCAAGACAACCATCTACAAAATCATCTCATCACAATCATCTGCACCATCATCTCAACACCATCATTATATTATCATTGGAAAAAAACAAACACTTCACAGAACATTAACCCTTCCCTCACCCCCCCCCAAAACACAAACAAACAAACAAAACAACCCCCCAAAAACAAACAAACAAACAAACAAAACACC